ATGTTTGTTGACTGCTGCTAAGATGTCTGCTGCATGCATGTTATCTACCATGTATGTTGCCTACTGTATGCTGAATGTATGTCATCTGATATGTAACGGGTTGGGGGCTCTGCATGTTTGTTGACTGCTGCTAAGATGTCTGCTGCATGCATGTTATCTACCCTTTCATTCTGAAGAAGAACAAGACTGACAAAAAACGAAGAAGACTGAAGAGGAGGAGGAGAAGAAGAAGAAGAAGAAGAAGACTGACAAGATGGACAAGAAGAAGAAGAAGACTTGCAGACTGACAACTTGCAGGAAATCTATGAGTTCTTCAGCAGCATATCAGCTGCATGTAGCCAATATCGATCCATATTCGAACGCATCTCTGAGATGGGAGGGAGGGATGGCGAGATGGGATGGAGGGAGGGAGGGATGGATGATGGAGGATGGAGAATGGCGAGATGGGATGGAGGGATGGATGGATGGATGATGGATGATGGAGGATGGCGAGATGGGATGGAGGGAGGGATGGATGGAYKGGAGGATGGAGAAAGGCAGGGAGGGAGTAGGGAAGGAGGGGAAGAAGAAGAGGAGAGAAGAAGACGTAGCGAATGGAGCAGCAGCAGCAGCAGCAGCAGCAGCAGCAGCAGCAGCAGAAGAAGAAGAAGAAGAAGAGGGTGAGGAGGGGAAGAAGAAGAAGACGAGAGGACAACCAGGAGAGAAGAAGGAGAAGATGAAGAAGATGAGCGGAGGAGCAAGAGGAGGGTGACCTTCGTTTTTTTTTTTTTTTTTTTAACCTGTCGTGTATCACGTGACCTACCGAATGTCGACGAACTAGAAGAAGGAGAAGGAGAAGAAGAAGAAGAAGAAGAAGAAGAAGAAGAGGAGGAGGAGAAAGAAAACGAGTGGGGGAGGAGGGGAAGACGAAGAAGAACAAGAAAGGTTGTGGAGGTAGATGAAAACGCGAGGGGGACGAGGGGAAGGCTAAGAAGATGCGGCGAGGAGGAGGAGAAGAAGAAGAAGAAGAAGAAGAAGAAGAAGAAGAAGAAGATGAGCTGAGAAGTTTAGGTGGACGGCCTGTCGTATCTCACGTGACCTGCGGAATGAAGAAGAAGAAGAAGAAGAAGAAGTATGGTTGAGGTAGGGTATGGCGGCGGGGTATGGCGGTAGGGTGTGAAGAAAGGCAGGGAGGGAGTAGGGAAGGATGGGAAGAAGAAGAAGAAGAAGAAGAAGAAGAAGAAGAAGAAGAAGAAGAAGAGGAGGAGAAAGAAAACGAGTGGGGGAGAAGGGGAAGACGACGAAGAAGAAAGGTTGAGGAAGATGAAAATGTGAGGGGGACGAGGGGAAGACTTAGAAAACGAGAGGAGGAGGAGAGAAGAAGAAGAAGAAGAAGAAGAAGAAGAAGAAGAAGAAGAAGAAGAAGAGCCGAGAAGGGGGGTGGTAGGTGGACGGCTTGTTGTATCTCACGTGACCTACCGAATGAAGAAGAAGAAGAAGAAGAAGTCTGTCGGGGCCTTCGTCGTTACCTGCAACAGTTAACCTAGCAGCAGGGCCTTCGTCTGCCCGTCCAACACAACCCTAAACGATTACGACAGGATGAAGAAGAAGAAGAAGAAGGACGGTGTCTTCGTCGTCGGGGCCTTCGTCGTAGCAGCAGCAGGACAGTCGGGGCCTTCGTCGTAGCAGCTGCAGGACAGACGGGGCCTTCATCGTAGCAGCAGCAGGACAGTCGGGGCCTTCGTCGTAGCAGCTGCAGCAGGACTCTCGATGGCGATGGCGACGGGCGACGGCGCAGCAGAACGGCGCCGGGGCAACTCCGATCGTACTGGGGGGCGAGTGGCAGACCACCCCAGCGGATTGGAGGTTCGAACCGGGGGGGAAGGCTGGTGGGAAGATCCACCGGCTCTGTGGCCGTCGATCATGGTGGATTGATGGCCACAGAGCCGTCACAAATTTTCAAAAATCCCGTAGGCCTACTGGGCCTGACGGGACGGTTTTTCGGGCCGTTCGGACCTGGTAGGCCTGCGGGAGGCCAACAGTAGTGAAAAGGGTGTCCGAGACCCCCAGACAGGTGACTGCGCTGGGGGGGCCCGACCCCCAACCGGGTGCCCTTCCCGGCCAGGCCGCCCGGGACCTCCCCCGGGCCCCCGCCAGCCAGCCAGGCGGCCCGGATCCCCACCCAGCTTCTCGGATGTTTTTTTTTTTGGTGCATATAGTCTACCTTCTTCCCCCGATTACAACGTACGGTCATTAAAGCTGTATTAGGGGTATTATCCATGGTAACCCCGGACCCGGACACCGGACACTTTCGGACTGTCTTTCGGACCAGTGTCTGGACCGGTCTGGACTGTCCGGTGATCCGGACATCACCGGACACAGGACAGTCCGGACGGGTCCCCGGGATGCAAAAATGTCCGGACCCAAAAAAAAAAAAAAAAAAAGCGGGGGGGTTGCGGGGTCGGGGGGTTGGCAGGCACTTACCTGCTTTGCACTCTGTAGTTCAGACAGCAGAGCACGTGTCTTGCAGCAAATCAACCAGCACATTTAACTAGCAGACATGCGAAGTTGCAAACAGTGCAAAGCAGGCACAAGACTAAAGAAACAGAGCATCTTTTTTTGAAAAAAGTATGATTAACTTTGAACTTTGAACTTTGAACTTTGGATTCAGTAATTTAAGTTCATAACTTCATATATAACTTAAAAGTTCGAACTTTGCAGTTCAATTCAGACCGTCAGAGTCTTCAGACTGGCAGCACTGTTAGTGCTCTCTCTCTCTCTCTCTCTCTCTCTCCCCCGCACACACACACAACGGGCAGCAGCAGCGGGCGCCACGTCGAAACGGCTGCTGTGAAATTGCTCGGGCCTGTGCGAAACCCGCCACCCCAAAAACCTGCAGTGTCYTGTGTCCGGACCTCTAGGCCCTGTCCGGTGGGGTGAAACGACACTGAAAAATCACCTCGTTATTTTTCAAGGGGCGGCCAGGACCCAATAAACGTCCTGGGCTGCCCCCTTTTTTTTTTTGAATTTTTGCCCCAGGGGCCTCCATCCGGACATAAGGACCGGACACCGGAAACCGGACTGTCTGGAACCCGGTCTGGACTTCCGGACGGTTACCATGGTATTATCTTTCAGTCCAAATACAGCAATAGTGACCGTAAGTGTGTTCAGGTTAAGAAGGTAGTGCTCTACTTCAGCAAGACATGTGGGTGACTGAATGTCATGAACACTGTGGATTGCATTCCTTTGCCTCTTGGTCTGGAAGTTTCAATATAAGAAGTGCGCAACCATTTGTGATTCTGTGCGTTAGCAAGCAGTGTCTTCAGCGTGTGTTATGTTTCGGCTGGCCCACCGGAACTTTTCTTCAGATCAGAATTGCCGCCCACAAAATGCAACAATTGAAACGGGTTGCAAGGCCTGCCTATGCTGCGATGCTCAGTAGACTCCTGCACCTTTAAAAGAGATCTGGCAACTCTCTGAATTTGAGCAGAAAGGTAATGAAGGATGCAAAGGAATGGGAAGAGCGGTGAGATAGATGTGTCCTAAGTGTTTTGTTTTGTTTTGTTTTCCTTTTGTTTTTGATGTATTACCCTGCAGATGTCGAAGATCACAGCTCTGCTGGAACAAGAAACTTGGGTGGCTGTGGATGCACCCCCAGAGTTCCAGGTTATTGTTGACATTCTGGTTGATGGCCTTATCACGAGAGGTACAGGCACTGACTTTGGTGGGCATGGATCCGGAATAAGCGCTGTCAATGGGATAGACACGAGTTTGGATGGCTCCTTGGATGCAACCCTTCTACCGCATCAGGGAAGCTCGAATGCCAAAGGTGGAGAGCAGACAGGTAATGGTGTGGCGGTTCCGGATCCCAGCAAAGAGCGAGATGACGATGGCGGAAGGCATGAGAGGAGAGCTACGGTCGGCGAGGAGGGACCTGCGGAGAAATCACAACCGTCAGATGCTGCAGCAACCTCCGAAGATCCACCAAGAGCTGCAGCAGAAAGCCAACGAGCAGAACCTAGTGGCGGTGATGCGGAGGCTGCAAAGGCATCAGAAGTAGGAGAAGCGGGACCCTCGGGGGCTCCAGGGCCCTCGCCGGAGAATGTGAAGAGAGAGACTGGGGATGGGGTAGATAGTGCTCGATCGGGAGGCGCATCATCAGAGCTCAGAGAGGGTCGGTCTAGTGCAGACTCGACGACAGGATCAAATGGCTCGTCAACGGCTTCGTCGGTGGCAGTTGGGAAGGGGAAGAAGGTCAAAGAGAAGCAATCCATAAGGACTCTTGTTGTGAGAGAATCCAAGTTTCACGTCGTAGGAAGGTATGCGAGTATTTTTATCATGTCTAGCTGATGTGCATGTCGAATTCTCATTCCAGGCCCCTATATTGTTGTATTGCCCTTGTTTTCTCTAAACATCATGCTATGTGTGAGTGTGGCGTTCATGGACGGGAGTTCTGTCACAGTGGGACGGTCAATCTTTCCCGTGTCTATTCCTCGTTCAGGTTCTGTGTACATGGATGATTTGTGTTCGGTTTATGTTCTCCTCCTGCTGATCAGATCAACGACGGCCTTGCAATATCATCATTGGGCTGACTGGCCACAAGCAATTCAGAAAATTATGGTTGTACTCGTCAAGCACCATCATCTGTGCCGCCATCTGGTTCCGAACTCGGGTTCGTATTTCAACACTTCAATACTACAATTTTGAATTAAAAAAGAAAAGAAAATGTGCATAGCTTTGGGAACCTGGAGCAAGGTTTGGGAAATTGCGTACAACTACTGTCTTCACACGAATAGAACGCAACGGGTCATTATACTTGGCTCACCTTTCAGTCCGGATGCAGTGAAAACGACCGGGCGTTCTATTCTGGTGAAGATGGTAGCATATATATCCCTCTGTTTACTTGATGCGGTTCTTTAAACTGAGGTAATCTATTCCTGCGATACCTCACGTATAGTAGCAACTAATGTTCAGAAGGGTGTGTGTGCCGGCATCTGCTTGCATTTGTTGTATGATTGTATGCTGATTGCAGTGCCTTAATTTTGCTGAAGATGATTGCCGAGTACGTCGACATTGCAAACTTCTTGCCAGCTCTTGCCACGGAAGTCGTGCATAGAGTTGCGGAGATTTTGAAGTTCTTCAACTCAAGGACATGCCAACTTGTGCTTGGAGCTGGTGCCATGCAGGTGGGTCTTATGCAACCCCCGTCGCTGTCCTCTCGTGCCCTGGGTGTTTTTTTTCCTCTTCCATTTGGACCATTCCTCAATTTATGTGTGTCATCCTTGTGCAGGGGCCATGCTAATCTTCTCTGTATCGTCCCAATTTTAATGGATGTCCTGAAGGACTCTTGTCCTGGGTGTCTGAAGCTTATGTGTGGCACCTTTTGCTCAAAAGCTCATTTCACTCTCTGCACTCCAAGGGTGGCCACCTTTTTCACCCTTTTATCTCCGTCTTTGTACATGCCTTCCCTCTTTCCGTCCCCGAATCTCCTCCTCCCGGCACCCACCCTGCCCTCCCCCCAACACACACGCACAACCACAGCCCTTTGCACATCTCTGGCAATGGCTCTCTGTATGGTTAAGAAACTCCACCGTCTAGACTCCTCTGGGATGGAATTCGCCCTCCTCTTCCTGTGATTGTACCTTGGCTCCTACTACCGTCTTCCCTGTGGCAATCCTATTCACTGTATCGGGCCTGAAATTTTCTCGGACAATGCCTTATATTCCAGAGGAGACACCAGTCTCTTCCTCCATCTTGCAGACGCCCCTCCCCCTTCTTGGGAACCTTCTTCCCCCTTTCAAAGTTCCAAACCTCGCTCCCCCTTCTTCCTGACCTTCCTGCCACTTCTTTCGAATCTCCCCCATTTGTCATCTGAACCGACCTCCTCGACATTCCGAATAATGTGAACATCCGAACATAAAGAAGTACATAATGTGCTCGAAAGTTCGCAAATGAACGAAAACGAACCATGATTCTGAAAGCAAAGGAATGCACATAAAATAAAGTTCAATCAACTTCAATGAACCAAGATTCCGAAAGCGAACGAATGAATGTATCCAATGTTCCGAAGAAGTCGAAGTTACAAAGGTGAACAACTAGATACTTTTGTCAAAAATGTTGCAAACGAATGAAAAGTTCCCAAAACGAACCATGATTCTCTAGGATCTCTGCTCATACAGTCGAGAAGACAAAATAAGAGCGTCGGAAAGTAAAACCGCAGAGCAAGTTAATCTAAGGGGGAACCGACCTCCTCGACATTCCGAATAATCTGAACATCCGAACATAAAGAAGGGGGAGGGAGGTTCGGCACACGGGAGAGAATCCGATTGAAGTTCATGAACATGATCGGATTCCCTTCCCTGCTTCGGACCTCCCTCCCCCTTCTTCCGAACTTCCCTCCCCTTGGTCCGGACCTCACTCCCCTTCTTCTTCCGAGCCTCCTTTCCCCTTCTTACAAACCTCCCTCCCATCGTTCCGAACCTCCTTCCCATGCCTCAAAAATTTCAAAGTTCCAAACGTGCAAATGAATCGTAAGGATCGAAAACGAACCATCCAATCTCCATTCACAGAATCACAAAGAATCAAAGTTCAAACCGTGAGCCTTCTTCCTGTTCCAAACCTCCCTCCCCTTGTTCCGGAGCTCCCCCCTCTCGTTGTTCTGAACCTCCCACCCCTCTCGTGGCTCCGAACCTCCCCTGTCACGTCAAAACGAACGATACAAGTAAAAGAGAGAGAGAGAGAGAGAGAGAGAGAGAGAGAGAGAGAGAGAGAGAGAGAGAGAGAGAGAATCTTTCCATTTTCTAGCGGATGATTCAGTCTCTTTTTGTACATGTGGAAAGAAAGGGAGCAATGCTCGAAACACCGAATGGAACCGTCACGTCAAAATGAACGATACAAGAGAGAGAGAGAGAGAGAGAGAGAGAGAGAGAGAGAGAGAGAGAGAGAGAGAGAGATGCAGATAAAAAAGGAAGCATAGGGATTAACCAACTAGATTGATAATGAAAAATAAAGTCCATAAATGACAAGAATTTATTTGATTGATTTCCTAATTAATAATTAATATTATTGAGAATAAGTAAATTATGTATATATAAATTAGATATAAATATATTATTTTTTATACTCCATGATCTTCTTAATAGAATCAAAACGTATTTCAGTAAAAACCTGTATCAAAAATCGTCGTAGAGAGAGAGAGAGAGAGAGAGAGAGAGAGAGACTGCATCTTCCCATTTTCTAGCGGATGATTGTCTGTTTTTGTACATGTGGAAAGCAGGGGAGAGATGCCCGAAACACCGAATGGAACCGTCACGTCAAGAGAGAGAGAGAGAGAGAGAGAGAGAGAGAGAGAGAGAGAGAGGATTGACCTGATGGAGGAGCTCGCTGACGATCGGCACGCTGATGAAGCAACTCGAAGACGACCGCCTTGGAGCAGCACAATGGAGGACCCTGCAGCCTCTCTCTCTCTCTCTCTCTCTCTCTCTTGTGTGTGTGTGTGCGCTGTGACGACGTGCTGACCAGTCTCTCTCTCTCTCTCTCTCTCTCTCTCTCTCTCTCTCTCTCTCTCTCTCTCTCTCTCTCTC